TTAAAGAGGACATCGACATGTTTTTTTGTTTCAAAGCCAAGTGATTTCTTTAATAAGAGCATTAATAACCTGATTGCAAAATGGAAAAGCATCATCGATAAGAATAGACTGTTTCATTTAATAAATGTTTTGTTATACAAGTTGTTCGGTTTTTTCATCTAAAAAATACGACATTAATTTCTTGACGACCTAATATTTACGCTAAGAACTTAAAAACCATAAGAATTGTATAAACTGAAACATACGTTTCATACTTTAATGCGTGTGTATTTATACATGTATACATACAACGAAAATTGTTTTCTTACCTTGCTGAATTTTCACTAATTGGCAACATTCCAGTCGCTAGACGCTTGTAATCATGCCATAGTTTATTTTTTTTGCCACTTGTATCGCAAGAGGTAAATAGAGAGCATACATGCACAGTGAATCATTTAATTTATAAATGTAATAGTGCAATCAGAGCATAGAATTAGGGTTACAAACTTCTATGTTATGGCAGCTCTACAGTCTACCACCTAAAATTAGTAAAAAGTTTAAAAGTTAACTTTGGTGGCAAAGAAAGTTGTTAAGGTTTCCTTCCCCATCAATGTAAATTTGCTTCGGACGCTCTTGTGATGCCTTATTTTCTTGTCTTCCTAGTTTACATTTCTTATTCTTCTAACCACTGATCAGGTAAATTTACAATGTACAAACCTTTCTTTATTCCATCTAAATCAAGTTTTTATACAAAGATTAAGGGTAATAAAATAACGTGTCAATCACCCATTACTAGAAAGATAATGATGCTTAAACCTACAGTTATTATAATGTAAGTTATGTTGTACGTTTGAACATTTGAAAAATATTATTCTGAGACACACATATATACAACATAACAGAGAGCGTTGCAGTGTGTACAAATCAAACAAATGGTTTGCGAGATATTATTGGGTACTTATATTTACAAAAACATTAAGTTAAAATACTGATATTCCTAAAACATACAGTATCCTGTTATAAATTTTACAATCATTATGTAAAATGATGAAAGTTTTTAACATTACAAACTTCAGTGGAAGTACAAATCGCACCTAAAACAAGCTGTAGCAAAAGGTATCAATACATGTTTGGCATTAGGATTCTTCTAAATACTTATTAAAATGAAATAAAAATAAATTCAGCATGAAAGAAAAAAGAGGAACAAAGAAATAGTGGAAAAGGAAATTCTGCTTCTTTCCCCATATTTTTAAAACAAAAGAAGGAATTATGCGGAAACTTAAGGCCAGCTATTTTTGGGACTTTGAATCCTTCACAGTTGTTTTACTTGCAATTTCATATTTTACACAATATTCAACCTGTCAATAGATCACAGTTGTTTTATTTGTGGTACCACGAGTTCATGTTTTACACAATATTCAACCTGTCAAGAGATCACAGTTGTTTTACTTGTGATACCACATGACTTCATATTTTATACAATATTCAATCTGTCAATAGATCACAGTTGTTTTACTTGTGATACCACATGACTTCATATTTTATACAATATTCAACCTGTCAACAGATCACAGTTGTTTTACTTGTGATACCACATGATTTCAAAACGGTTATAAACTTGTCAGTTTCAGTCACCCCCATAGGTTAACCATACTAGTTCTTAGGGAAATGTTTTTTTGTTTATTTCACGAACAAAATAACAACTGACGTCAGACTATCTGGGTTCTAAGTTATTGAAATCTTTAAATACTTTAGAAATAAACAAGGTCAATGGTCAGAGACAAATCTCACGTTTACCACCAACGTCGTGTATAGCATTTTGTTGATTTTAAAAGAAGAAAACTATCAGTTTTTGATGGAGTTTTCAAAGATAAATATATTTTTAAAACTTTCAATAGGATTAGCAGTTCTAGTTAATTATTTTATTCACACATTTGTATGATAAAGATTGTTTATGTTTCTACAAGTGCCTTTTAATATGCTGTTGTGGGCTATCGTTAACTGTAGCCCAAGCTTTTGGTACGAAAACCTATAAAATAATAAGCATCTAGCATCAAACACTAAAGTACTGAAGTCAAAAACAGAGATGTCAATTTTATGAGCTGGAGGGGCATTTCACCCCTAAAATATTAGTAGAATCTGGCAATAAAATACTGCTTTCACTACTTATACGCTGTAAAGCTATATCAAATTCCAATGCAAGGCCACATTTTATTGTATTTACACTTTAGAAACATCCAAGAGTTTCCACAGTTATAATGAAAGTCATATAATTAAATAATGACACCAGTCCATCAAGAGTAATAGCTATAAAGTCGTTGTTTATATTAATAGGAAATTCATACTACTCCTGAAGTAAAGAAATTGATGCGTTTAATTTTCACCCCACAAAAAGACATGTGGGGGAAAACTAATGTGTGTGTTATATTACTTACCTCCATAGTCTGGGAGTGGTTCATGCCTTTGATAGCATTAATTGCACACTGGCGAGACCCGTACGTCACAAATCCACAACCTGAAGAAAGAAAATAAGGAAAATTGAAAACAGGTAAAACAATATATTTTTAGAAGAGAACCATTTTAATGCTTTTGTAGACAATTACGAAATGCGTCTTTCATGCTGATTTCTTAAGTTATGAATTAGGTAATTAAACTGTGAAACTTTGAGCACTACTTTGATACCTTACACTAATACATTCTTTGCTCAAAATGTAATAAGTGCTAAAGGCAAAACTTTTAATTAAAATATGTGCAAAACGTTACTCGGAGTAGTATTATATTAAGTGCTAAAGTACTTTATAACAGTATGTTCCAGATACTGCGTTGTCCCTTGTACTACTTCCTACGTTGGAGCTCGTGCTCATTATGATAGTCATGACCCGATACTTCTGATAGATATCGCAATTGCCATTATAACAAGCTTCTGGGAAGGACTGCTAGGTAAGCCCTACACATTTTGAAAGACTTTCCATATACCCCTCACTGAACGAATTAAGGCGATGGTTTCCAAGGCCACGTTTAAAAAGAAGGAACAAGTGTTCACTAGAGCGACATCAGGGAATTTGACAAGTACGTGATTCCAGTTTTTTGTTTTTTTTTTGTCCACGTTTCTTATGGAAACAGCCGTTGAATTCGAGATGCAGTTGGAAACAGAGCCGTAACTAAGCAATTTAGCAACCAAGGCAGGCCATCATGTTTGCGCCCCCTTGTGTGTGATGTGGCAAGCCATTTTGGTTATTTTTCTGTCCCCTCACCGTCTTGCGCACGGAGCACTTAGCTAGCTTGTGAGCGTTTAGCAAATTCAGTTTTTTTTTCATCTTATGTTAGGTTCTCTTTCGGAACTAACTTTATCTTTGCGGAGATGAAGGCGTTGCTCCAGACTGAGGGTGTGGCTGTTGTCTTAAATGTTCTGCTCCTCCTTTACGGACTTTACATCGTTTAACAATCTCGCTTTGTGAATATTCTTCCTTGGAAAAGGAGTGAAAGATCCATTCAGTCATAAGGTACAAGTGGCGGCAGTAAATGTAGAATGTTGGGAAATTACTGTGAATAAAATATGTATGTGCTAAGCATGTCGCCCGCAATGCCACACATTAGCGCATGCGATAAATTTCCATAAAGTGCGATTAACTTGCTGTACTTGTGTATTGTTTAAAAAGCTTCATTATTTTTCTGTTTACCATTTCATCAATCTAAGCCAAAAGCATTTATAACGGGTGTATGTGTGCTTCTGTGCGTGCATGCAAGCGCGCGCACACAACATTATTTGGATAAAAAGAAAATATAAAACTTTGTTCACAAAGTATTAAATTACACAGTCTAAATAAATTCTGTTACGGATTTTTTTTTAAGTTTCGCAAACTAATTCTCAGCACCCCCAACTGGTACATATTTTTCCATACGCTCACAATTATTTTATCCCATTCCCAGTCTTAAAAATACGAGAGAACTAGATAAGTATTGCTAGTACACCTTGAAGCTCTCTCAAGTTTGTTTGTTTTTTGAATTTCGCGCAAAGCTACAAGAAGGCTATCGGCGCTAGCTGTCCCTAATTTAGCAGTGTTAGACTAGAGGGAAGGCAGCTAGTCATCGCCACACACCGCCAACTCTTGGGCTACTCTTTTATCAACGAATAGTGGGATTGATAGTCACATTATAACACCCCCACAGCTGAAAGGGCGAGCATGTTTGGTGGGACTGGGATTCGAACCCGCGACCCGTAGATTGCGAGTCGAGCGCCCTAACCACCTGGTCATGCCGGGCCAGCTCTCTCAAGTAGACTCGCAGACAATTCAACTACAAATCAATTGCGCCATTATACGGTTTATTTTCTCCAATTTCATGACATTCAAAATACTTCTCGACCAGTTACTTAATAAGTTATAATGTGGCGTTTTCATTCAATATTATCAACGAAGTCCTCCTTGAATTTCTCCAACAGTGCACTAAACTTGCAAGTTCTTCACGTAGTTTCATCAGCCGTTCTGTGCACGCTTAGCCATTACAAATGAAACACTTGAAATCCGTGTCTGAGGTTTAGATCATACATGTAGCTTTTAGAGTAACTGCAAGATTGATTTTATTTGTTGAATTTCGCGCAAAACTACTCGAGGGCTACCTGCGCTAATCGTCTCTAATTTGGAAGTGATAGACCAGAAGGATAGCAGCTAGTCAACACCGCCCACCGCAAACTCCTGGGTTGCTCTAACTGAATCGTGTGATTAACCGTCACATTATAACGCTACCATGGATGAAATGGCAAACATCTTCTGTGATAACTCGAAGATTGCTAATCGAGCGCCCTAACCACCATGCCATGCCAAGCCTGCAAGTTGCAATACAAAAATGTCAGAATTACATTCTACAGTATAAAAAAAAGGTTTATAACAGAAGACTTAGGAGAAGCAATAAAAACGTCCCATGCAAGAAAAATCATCCGAACGTAATGTTTGAAAGCAACACAACAATCAAATGATACAATATGCCGAAGTATATTACATTTTCTCTAAAAGTTTCTTGTAAGACGATACAAGATTTTAAGCATAAAGTACTTCCAAAAGCGAGCAGTTTAAACAGTGTATTTTGGTTCATAATAGAAAACATGCCTGCTTTTTGTCACACGTGGTCTGGCTAATAAAATTTTATAAGTCCATCCGACACCAAGCCTATAGTTCGCCGTTTCTGGCTTCAGATCAGCAATTAAACAAAGAGGAGCGAGTTGAGGTTCCAAAATTAACCGTTTGACGTTGTGCAACAGTTTCTATTCCAATTAATGGCTGCAAACACTTCTTATTTTAAAATTGTTCGTGTAGAATATGCTGCAGGGGTAGTATTTTTAAACTTACGAACACTAATCTTTCTTGAGTTACACACGCTAAAGCAGATCAAAAATAAAATGCAACCAACCCAGCAGGAAGAAGTGGCGGAATTTCGCTACTTATATGTAAGTATAGTATGATTAACGACACTGTCAGCTCCTGTCCATGTATTCAAGGTATCCACTGACACTTAAGTATGCACAGAGAAACAACGAGGAGCTTTTGTATGGATGAACCATTTAATTATAAACACTGGAAAAGTATTTCACATTAACTCACTGTGGGACAACTTTAAGCTACGGTTTTATTTTGATGTTTAAGGTTAACACAATAAATTAGGACATCTAAAAAGCTAACTTTCATTACCTTTAAACGTTAATCTTTGGAAATTGTATAAAAGCTCTCGTTTTGGGAAGTTCAAACATATTTCCCCTTTTTTTGTTGTTGTTCAGCTGAATGTAACATTCTTGTTTACAAGCAGTTCAACTACATTTATAACATACTGCGCCAGAAAACAACTCACGTAGTACTTGCACACTCAGGACTACACAACTTCCAAAAATAGGGTCTCTGATTTCGGAAAAAGGCCTAAGAGCTAAACATGATAAAGACATACAACGTGGTGTACACACGCTCAAGAGGTAGCATTCAAATGTAACTGTTACTTTACCCGCTTTACTAAAAACGAAGCTAAGTATAGAACAAATAAATTTATCTGAAACCATTTAGGACAATTTAAAAGGATAGAGGCTACCGTGACAACAATAAAGAATAGATATAGTAGATTCACAAAACTGGTACTTATATGGAGTTTTCTTCATGTGGTTTCTTCGACGTTATAGAATTAGAACTGAAACTCACATTACAATAAAAGTTTGGAAAACATTGTCTACTACAATAAAAGTTTGGAATACATTGACTACTACAATAAAAGTGTGGAATACATTGTCTACTACAAACAATGTGTTTATTTTTATTTTTATAGATATTCATTTGTTCTAAGATATTAATGAATCTATACATTTACTGGTTTATTTTATATGCGCGCGCACACACGTGTGTGTGTGTGTGTATGTGTATTAGGGTAGATAGAACTTTGGATTAATGATTATTTGAAATGTTTTTAGCTTAGTATATGGGTTTAGGACTAACTTAAATCTTGCCGGATGTCGTAAAAATATCGCTAACGGCGAGGGGGAGGGGGGGGGTACACAAATGATAGAACAATGCATTCTAATTATTGGAGGTGAAAACGCCAGAGCATTATATTTAATTGACTATATTAATTACTAGGTTGATTTTCAATTTTATCCAGTGTAGGTAGCTTGTTTTGATGAGAACTTACTATTAAATGAAAGCCTACAAGACATAATAACCCGTATGTGGGAGGAGAATAATTTCGAAAACTGTAAACAATTATTGTTATTTGTTCACAGTTGTTTTTAATCGGAAGTCTGGTTACGAATATATTTAGTCACAAAAAGTGAGAACTGTATACTTATACGTAGAAAATCAAATATTACTTTTGTTTTCTTGCAATCACTGCAACACAAGTTATCTGTAAATGAAAGACAGGCACCCGTACTCAAGTTCAAGTACGTATCATGAACAAACTACTGCATATCGTTAAATTTAGCACATTGCATCTTGATGTTTCTATTTTTTTTTCTACGAAAAGTTTTCCGTCACTTTAATACATTCAAGATTTTACATAAAATTAGGAAAACATTAAAACAACTTCCTGTAACAAACGCTGCCCTTTAAAATATATCATAACACCTGAATGAAGCAACGTCAAATGTTAGCTTATCGAACATGAGGCGTTGTGTAGGTGTCTCGGGTCTCTTTGTATAGTCTGGATGAACACATGTAAATTGTAACAATATTTACAAAGAAAAAAAAACAATATACGTTTATAGCTAAAAAGCAAATACCAAATAACACAACTGTACACGTTTGAAACGCATAGGAGCTTTTGCAGTGAATGGTTGATCTATGAAAATAACCAACTTCTGTGTCATTTTCTCACGATATATATATATTTCCTCACCTCGGTTTTGGGCCCAAGTGCTTTACCAACTGAGATTGTTATAAGGCACTTTGTAGCTACCCAAACTACTCATTTTTTCCCCTCGTAGAAACAAGGCCCGTCCTTCAGCATAATTTCAGGGTCGTGGAACGGCCATTAGTTGGGCACAAAAGTGATATTTTCTTTCTTTTTTCATAATATATCTTCTCGAATCAGATTTTAACTTCAGATATTTCTCATGCCAGTCGAGTGTTATACCAACTGAGCTAAGACGCTGTCTCCCTAGTCACGTTTTAACTACCCAAAATACTATATTTCTAAGGCTTCTTTCTTATGTCAATACAACAAAAGAACGTGGATGCTACCGTTAAGTTACGACTTCTGTGGCTTAAATAGCTTCTGATAGAAACAGTTATAAAAATAAGAGATTAAATAAATTTATGTTTAAAGTTTAAATAAGCTTCTTATACGAAGCACGAATTTACTCGCCGAATAACATATCACATTATTCCCGTTATTGGTGGTAGTGGACCCGACGCTTTGTTAATACGTTAGAGGAGAGTAAAAAGAAAAAGTTTATACCATTTAGGAACGAAAAAAACAACAAGTGAAATAGCGACAAACGAAGAGGGTTGATTTTCATAATTATAAAAAATTCATTATTTTACAACGTCGTTTCATAAAGAGTCGGATAAATAAAAAAACTTCAAGATGTTAGTTAATGATGACAATTATCCACAAAAAATATTGTATGTAGAGATATGCTTTGTTTATAGTCATTCCATGTTTTTACACTTGTTTACTTTAAATCTAAATACAACAACCACATATTCTGCTGAGTAGGTTTTGTTTCATTCATGTCCAACTACATAATACAACAGCATTATTTAAAATATGTGCACTTTTCGTGTAAATAAATAAATAAATATGTGTGTGTGTGTGTGTGTTTCACATATGCAGCACTACTCCATTTAATAATGCTGCATATGTGAGAAACACATTTGGACTTTGGTTCATATAACATAGCACACGCTTCATGTGCTGGAAGTCGAGGATTCAATCCTGTCTATATCCATTTTTTTAAAATTTTGTAAACAATGTTTCAGTAGTCAAATAAGTTTAGTACTCGAACCACGAGTTTGTCCCCTAGTTGCAACATTGTTGTTAATAGCACACTTTATGTTTTAATTACAAGTATAACATAGTGGTTATGAATATCAGTTGTAAGGTTGATTCTGAACCATACAGCTTCACGATCTCTCACAACCTCAAAATATCAGTAAGCAAAACAAATATCCGGGAGTTTACACGAAACTAATCGAATCATCTTGAAGTATTTAACTAGAAACACAAAACTAAAACACGCAGGTTACTCGCTGTAGAAGAAACAACTTCATACTCTCACACCCTGTGAAGCGTCATAACACAGGCATGTTTACGAGAAAACACTGTCTATCTTGCCATGTAGTGAACCCTTTTAACATTCCTAAGAAAGTACTTAGTCTGTGTATAGCTAAGCTCACAACATGAAATGTTTTTACTTTAACGTTAATCAAACATTCAGTTTATTACGTTTCCTTACAATATATCTGCTTGTCCAGTAGGAAGAACCGGGTGATAAATGTTCAAATAAAAGAAACATTTTATCATCACATAATCTTCCCACGTATACATTTTTACATGGATAAGAGTGAATCTTGTATAATGCACATCAACATGGATAAGTGTGAATCTTGTATAATGCACATCACCAAATATTTTTACCTCTTACGTACTCTAAAACTCTAGACTTTAGAATCAGTATTTTACGAAATAAACTTCTTTAATGATACTGTGAATAAAAATCATCAACGCATGGCCTTACTCTGCCCTCAACCTCTGAAAACATTATTTCAAATAAGGTATTTAGTTATTTCTCAGCATCATTCATTAAAAAATAGTAATACATATTTCAGACACTATTCAAAATTCGTTGGCTACACATCTACAGTGATTTTCCGTAGTATAGCTGAATGATGACAAAGTAGGCCTTTTTTGTTTAATACATTAAAGTTTTAGTTATGATTGTTTAAAATTTGTTAAAAAGTTTACCATCAACTTACAAAACTGGGAAACAGACATAACACATTATCCAAACTATAGTTAGAACAACACTATTATTCCGGGTTCTGTGTTTAGTGAACTCGTATTACTAGAAGTAGGAAGTAGTTTTCTGTAATATTTAACTTTCAGCAAATCATCTCATTTATAAACGGTGCAAGATATAAATTACTAACAAGGCCCGATTTCAGCGAGCCAAAATTTTTTACATACTAAGGTTTTATTCCAGGCGATGTTTAAAACTTTACTATACTTGTATAGAAGTATATTTTCCACACAGACACTTAAAAAATACACATCAAACGAAAGGACTGTAGAGAGCAAACTAATAACTTGTGGCAAGTTTCTTCTAATATCGAGAAAAATACAATTAAAAGCCGTGAGTGAACAAATAGTACATTTTAGAGAAGCCGTGACAGGTACCATTAAGTTTGTTAATATCGAAAAAGTCGGAGATTACCATTAATTATCTATCTTACCAACTAACTAGCACCATAAGGAATTAAATACTACTACTAACTGCTTTCTCTCATCAACTAGCTGGCACAATAAAGAGCTGAAAAGTACCACTAATTGTATCTCTCGTCAACCAGTGTAACGAATTTGTTGTTACATATTTATTTTAATGTCAACAATTGTTTGGATTGAGTTTATATTTAAAAACATGCGTGACTTATAGTGTTAGATATGTATTGCGAAACTCCCGCCTATTCTCCAAAGTTGTAGAAGATTCTCGAGAGTAAGAATCAACAATATATGTGTGTACGTAAACGGTTTAACTTGCATTGTTAAATAATCTGAATATTCAAGAAAATCTTCCCACGCCTATATGTATAACCAACGCGATGCGCGCCAGAGAAGAGTGTCTATTAATAGTTCGCTATACTCAGTGTGCTATAAACTTCGAAAGCTATAACTGTGATTTTTATAACGCTTATCAATCGGAAAACTTCAGATATTTGACCAGGAACATTTACAATTTATTTAACTTCAGTGGTTTCTCATCGAACATTAGTATTTTTACGAAAACATTACCTAACTTCAACGGTGGAAAACCTAGCGTGTGTGGCCAAGGACGAAGCTAGCTAGCTTCCCGGCGAATCGTACTTACATCAACTCGTAATTAACTCGCTCATCGTAAACCCTCAATAAGATATCAAGGGAGTTCCAAACTAGAAAAAAGATTTTATATTATTTGTAAGTTTGTAAAACTTTTGTTTATAAATCTTTGTTTGTAATAACTATTTATAATAATTGTTATTGTAAACTGTACCTTTGTGTGTATATTAAAATGTATGTGTTAAAAACGAAAACGGTGTGTATCAATCTTGTTGATAAATATCGTAAATTGACTAATATATCGGCATATATTTAAATACTAACTCCAAAGTACAATTTAACTACTAAATTTAAATTATCAGTTAACTCGGCTTCGGACTATTCAAAATTCTAAGACGTAACACCAGCTACACAACAATGCTAATTGTCACTCTCATCAACAAGCTGGCACAATAAAGAGCTGAAAAGTACCATTAATTGTCTCACTCATCAACTAGCTGGCACAATAAAGAGTTGAAAAGTATTACTAATTCTCTTTCTCATCAACTAGCTGGTCCAATACCACTAATTCCCTCTCTCTCATCAACTCGTTGTCATAATATGGAGCTGAAAATTATTCCTACTAATCACTTTTTCACCAACCAGCTGGCAAAATAAGGAGCTGATCATTACTACTCCTAATTCTCCTCCTCTTATCAACTGATTTGAACCATAAGAAATTATTCCTACTAATCACTTTTTCACCAACCAGCTGGCAAAATAAGGAGCTGATCATTACTACTCCTAATTCTCCTCCTCTTATCAACTGATTTGAACCATAAGAAATTATTCCTACTAATCACTTTTTCACCAACCAGCTGGCAAAATAAGGAGCTGATCATTACTACTCCTAATTCTCCCCCTCTTATCAACTAATTTGAACCATAAGAAATTATTTCTACTAATCATCTTTTTTCATCAGTTATCTGGCACAAGGAGTTCAGGGTTTACCACTAATTACATCACTCAACAAGATAGTACAGTAAAAAGTTGATAATTACCATTACACGTCTATATGATAAATACATAATGAAATATAGTGAATATTACCGCTATATATATTGTATCTGATGTTTTCAATCTTATCGCCACTTTATGAGATACGGGGCTAAGCGGACACGTCAGCTTCTATTCAGGTTGAGACACAGATTTCCCTAAATTCAGAACTGTTAACAGAAGAATTCCTGAGTACTGTATTCTACAGAAGAACGAAACTTACCTTTACTCTGTCCGTTGGCGTCCCTGAGTACTGTACATTCTTCTATAGAGCCAAAGGGGGAGAACATAATTCTAACGTCGTTCTCGTTGCACTTTTTAGAGAGCATTCCGATGAAGAGTTTCCTTTCTGTAAGGTAAAAGCATTAATTATTTGGTATGACGTAAGTAAACCACTAGTAACAAACTTTAAAGTATAAAAACATTCGTCAACATTAAGTCAATGAAAAAGGATTATCACGTGATACAGTTATTTTTTTATTCAGCAACACTCAGACTGTAATGCACACAACATAAAACTAAATATATTTATACAATAAAGGTTGTGTTTTCATAATGCTTAAAGTAAACAGTACAATAAAAAACCTGTAACATTTCTTTTTGCAATCTCGAGTTATTAAGCAACAATAAAAAATGTATATAGGCACAAAACGTAATAAAACAACATTGTAATTACAGTTTTTAGATGATTACGACCACTTACGTTATTGACTTAAAACACATTACAATGACGTTATGATCGTCTTACAGCGGCCATTATTATTATTACGATAGAAAGTTCATTTCGTCATCGAATTTTTTATTGATCATTTACACGAGTAATAATAGGCGTAAAAGCTAATAATATATATGTGAGGACTGATAAAACCATGCGCTTGAAAGGAGATAAGAAGCCTTGTTAATGTTAAATTGCACATGACTACCGATGATAAATGAAACTAACTTACGAACGTTTTTAGAAAACAAAATTAATGTCCAACCACTAATCAAGAAAGAAAAAAGTGCCCGAATAATTGTTACGAAGTCATAGAACTATAAATCAATGTAAGGGGAAAGCTTTAGAAATAGGTTTATATTTGTGGTTACACATCATGCGAGTGTATAGAGCCAATTTTTTTTTATAGGAGCGCTTACATTATATAACAAATGGCTATTTAGTGAAAGAGAGAGAGAGAGAGAGAAATCTTTCAGATTCAACAATAGAAACAGACTCCTTGTTAGAGCGAGTAGTGTGTGTTTTCAACTGTTATCTAGGCCTTAATCTCAATGGAAACCCATTTTTGGATGGTTAAGATTGTTGGTAAAATAATTAGCAGCCCCCCTAAAGGTGCTCAACATGTGATTTCTTGATTTATGTGATATTTTCTCACGTGTCGGAGTGTTTGGTTGTCTAAGCACATCACCTGAAACGCCAATATGATTTTATATGGGACACTACTTTCGTAACACACTGTGTTTTACTTTATTCAAATGAATGGATACATCGTAAATCACCAAACATTGCAATTAGCCTCATTTCTAAGATTCTTAGCAATGAGTAGGCAAACACCAGTAATAACAGCAGTTCAAACAACTATTCTAATACAGCACTACAAAATATAACTGATATTAGAGCTTTACATTACAAAAGTAAAATGTAAACATTATAGTCTAACGAGTGTTATTACAGCGTTGAATACAATTTCAAACGATTCCTTCAACTTTACAGTATGAAAGCAAAGTTCCTTGTTTTCTCAAGAGTGGTATTGGAACTTCAGGACTACTCACGATATTTTTTATTGCCTTAGTCAATACAACTTCTAGATCGAGATCATTCAATACAGCATAAATAGACCTGATAGAATCTTAACCTAGAGAAAGTCGTTCGATTTTCTTAACATTCTACAAATTCATACCACTTAAGAAATGAGAATTTCTGTGGTTTACTCCTCTTATTCCCTAATCCCATATTTCCCCATATTTGCGGGGGTTTAGGTATGGTCAAACGAACCATGTGAGTTGACGTTTCTTCTTATCATTCGTCGCAAATGAATTTGCTCTTTGAAATGGATAACTCGCTATTGGAAGAACCCACAAAAATAAAACTTTCAATAACTAGATCGAAAAGAATTATACAAAGTATTTCTTTTAGTAAACAAGGTACGTTTTTCTCACCACAACTACATACATTTTCTTCCAAGTAAAAAAGATTGTTTTATTGTTGGTTAGTGAAAAAGGGTAAAAAGTTTCTTGAGTTATCAGTGTATTTAACAAAAGGCACTTTAAGTAGCTAAGATACTAGTACAAAACATACGGTCTTTCGAATGACTTCACTTACATGATAATAAAGCAAAGGTTAACAAACAATACACGTGATGAAAATTTTTTTAAATCGTTTTTAGAAAATTTTAATCTCATACAGCTGCAGACAGTGAAGAAAAATTACCATAATATTTCTACAGTTATATAGACATAAATGGGCTGCTGCATACACATAACCGCGCACTCGCAAATTAACAAGGCATGTACGGTGGGGCCAGGTGTTGCCCAGTGGTTAGCATGCTCAATCCGTGGATTCAAGTTTCGCGTCTGTTACCACGAAATGCGCTCTACACTTTGAGTTAGCGGTGGGTGCATTCCGTCGGGTCAAACAGCTCAAAATTAGCGATGGATATGCGCAGGTAGCCCTTTAAGTGACTGCGAGCAAATTCTTAACAGATAAGGTAAAAATATGGGAATATACTATCTGAATCCGAAAGCTTAAATAGGGTATACGTAACACAAACTGAAAGAATGATATTCAAAATCTTCAGACGGTTTCAAATATCACAATGGAGAGGAATCAAAATAATCTATAAGCACATCTAAGAATCCCATACATTGTCCAAAGATAATCTTACAATCGCACAAACCTTATGAGCAGAGATGATGTAGTTTCCAGTGCGTCTCTAATATTTTGAAAAACCTGGTTCAACAGATTTGATACGTTAGTTTGTACTAAAGACGTTAGAAATTTACAAGTTAGTATTTACTATATATGTGGTTGATACGGATTCCAACGCTAGATGTGTTATAGATGTTTTGTACAATTACATTTACTGCTTGTTGCTCAGTCAATTTAACAGTTTTCATATTTTAATTAATTTTATTACCCTACACTAACCGTACAGCATAAATTTGTGTTTATCAGACTGCTAGTTTTGTATATTTGCTGTATTTAAGTACCACATTTATCTTCAGTGCTTGTTATATTATCCCGGAAAATGGGACTATAATCCCTTGTCTAAGCTTTGACAGATGGGTCTTCTCTGTAGCTTTGTCAGAATGATGTAAATGTTTCATATAAACTGTGCTTTATTTACTTACTACAAACAAGATAGCTAAAAGTAATAAGATTCCCTTTGTGCTCTCTCCTTTACTAAGACTGGGGTCGAATATGAAATAACACCAATAAACACGACTTATTAAACATATACTGATATAAAAGGCTACAAATCCTGTTTTATACAAATTATATATTTCTTTGTAGTGGATATACGCTTTTATATCTGATCCACGTATATTTCTTTCTTTGTAGTAGATATATACATTTTTATATCTGTTCCACAGATATTTCTTTGTAGCGGGTATACGCTTTTATATCTGATCCACGGATATTTCTTTCTTTCTTTGTAGTGGGTATACGTTTTTATATCTGATCCACGGATATTTCTTTCTTTCTTTGTAGTAGATATATACATTTTTATATCTGTTCTACAGATATTTCTTTGTAGCGGGTATACGCTTTTATATCTGATCCACGTATATTTCTTTCTTTGTAGTAGATATATACATTTTTATATCTGTTCCACGTATATTTCTTTCTTTGTAGTGGGTATATGTTTTTATATCTGATCCACGGATATTTCTTTCTTTGTAGTGGGTATACGTTTTTATATCTGATCCACGGATATTTCTTTCTTTCTTTGTAGTGGGTATACACTATACTTTCTATATCTGATCCACGGATATTTTATTGTTCTTTAAAACATTTCTATATATGGGATCCACGATGTTCTTTGAAGTGAAATCAATGGACCACATTTTATCAGCGTGAAGTTTCATTCTGCTTTTTTTTGGCTTCTTGCGAAACGTGTCATACTATAAACTTTACTTATATAAAACACTGAAATACTTTTCTCCTAATAACTTGCAATTCCATATCGGTAAGAATGTTTAACTTTTCATAATACAATTTTCATTATGGAAAAGATTATTTTTGAGTCATATTTTACCTAAGAGCGTGGCTTCTGAGCTGAATCACTGAGAATCAAACTGAACACAGAATAGGCTTTCCTCTTCAAACGTATGCGTTAGCTGACAAATAATAAAGCAAAAATTCCGCTCCAGGCCTGATTTTGTTAATAAAATCAAATGTAAGCTTTCAAAAACATACCATATATTGAGTTTTAGTAAGCTAATTCTGACGCTGTGACAGCAGACAAAACTTGAGGAAACACGCGATCACAAACTTTCTAACACCGATGTGTTAAACTGAGTGACATTCCGGTTGAAACAGTTTATACTAACGACCATAACTGTTCTATGCGTCCAAGGCCTAATGGTTAGAGTGCATAACTCGAAATCTGCGGGTCAGAATTCTGTTACCAAACACGATCGTCTTCCTTCAGCGGTGGGTACGTTACACCCGCTCTTCTTTGGTAGAAAGTAGCCTAAATTGGAACGGCTAGCGCAGATATCCTTCGTATAGTTTAGCGCGAATTTCATCAAACAAATAAAATCTAAGCGTCTTTGAGGATAATTTTTTTTATGGAACAGTTTTTTTTCACTTGAAAGTTCTAGGATAATCATAAATACTTCATTTATGACTTTGTATTAAATCCTGTTTTTTTTTTTAACATCGAACAAAGCTACATAAGAGCTGCCTGTGCGACCCCTCTTTAATTTTTAACTGACAGACTAGAAGAAAGGCAGCTAGCTAACACTCACTGTCAACTCTTGGGCTACTCTAACTGAATAGTGGAATTTGATCATCATTGTCTTAACAAATGCACGACCACAAAGTGGGAGCTTAATTTAGCAACAATGGGACACTAACCTTGGAGTCTCAGATTTACAGTTCAGATTTACTAGGCCACACTCAACCCATTCAATCCTGACTCCAGTCAGAGATCTTTTCAGGTAGATTAACCATATTATATTAAGTTAATAAACAAGCTAAGGAGTTCAGTTCTCTGTCTGTTCATGTGACAAGGGATCGTCTCAAGGCCACAAAAATGGCCCATATGCAGACCTTCACATGCTATACCACCCTGGTCACAGGATTCAAATTAGTACATTTTAGGATCGTTCGTATAGAAATTGAAATTACGCCTATAAAAAAGATAAACAAAAACTGCGCGATCATAAAACATTTCCCACTGTATCACAAACAGTGAGGTATTATATTTGCTTTATCATAAAATCGAGAATACCTGTTAATTTAAGCGCCTTCATTTTCCTATCATTACAGCACTCAACTTAGTATATTAACACTCATAAAAGAAAATACTTAGCTTAAAGGTCAATTAATTTACAGTGTTTTATACGTTGCTTCTAAT